GTACACTAACCAGGGGAGAAAGAGGGAGTCCCACAGTTCATACTTGTTCATAATGTGCGACAGGCTGGTGACTCCTTCAAGTTCTAACATCCTTGAGTTGTTCTGGAACTGTTCTTGAAGCCTTTTCTCTGTTCCCTCCCATCAGACTTCTGTTTCCTGACTCTGAAGGATTATTTCTTTTGGTTGCTTCAAAGCTTTGGTCAGTCACTAGAAATTCTATTGTTAATGAAGTGAGATAGATGATGGGTGGTGACTTGCTTTAGTGAACATGTTTTTTTTTAGACTGCAGAGGGGAATATGAATGTGTAGATTCCTTTTTCATAAATCACAGAATCATTGAATGGTGTGGGTTGGAAAGGACCTTAAAATCATCCAGTTCCATGGGCAGGGATACCTCAACTCTAGACCATGCCGCCCAAGGCTCTGTCCAACCTGGACTTCAACACTGCCAGGGATGGAGCCTTTACCACTTCTTTGGGCAGCCTGTTCTAATGCCTCACCACCCTCACAGTAAATAACTTCTTCCTTATATCTAACCTGAACTTCCCCTGTATAAGTTTGAACCCATCACCCCTTGTCCTGTTGCTACAGTCCCTGATGAAGAGTCCCTCTCCAACATTCCAACATCCTTGTAGGCCCCCTTCAGATACTGGAATCATGTAGAAACTCAGTTCATCTTTCTTCATTGGTTAGGCTTCCACAATCAGTTCTTTCCTAGAATTTGAGTCCCCTTTATAAATATCTTCTGACCCTCTTTTCACTCCTCTTCCCAATTCTTTTGCCTTCAGCACTCTCCAGTATCTGTTTGTGAAAGGGCAGCACATGCAGCCACATCGTTCCTACACCAGGAATTACTGTCCTTCAGTTATTATTCAGCTGTTTGGTTTGGGGGGGGGGGGGGGGGTCGGGTCACTGGGGTTTTGCTGTTTGTTTGTTGTTTTTTTTTTAACAGATTTCTTAGTTCAGTTCACAATAGCTGCCTTTCCTCAATGAAGGCTCTAACCTAAATTTCCTTCTATTCTGTAGCTGATGTTTACAAAACTTGTTAGATTCTCCAAGATGTGGATCAATTATAATTTTTGTTGGAGGTGATCAACAGACTTTAAAGGATTAACATGGTAAAGGGGGTATTTGCAGAAGCTACTTTTTTTTAGGGGGGAGGGTGGATTGCTTTGTTTTTAATGCCCTTGCTTTCTGGACCTATTCACTTTTTTGTGATTGCTGAGATCGCCTGGTGATACTCTACATTTTGTCTTCCAGAGCAGTGTAACAAGAGCAATAGTCTTCATCTGCTAGTGTGGAACCAAAACTGGCAATCCTACACACATTGTTTTGGAGTGGAATGTCATGTTATGGAGCTTCACAGATGCTCACGAGAACACCCATTACCAGGCAGACGTGTTGTCAGCGAACTGCATTTCCAAATAATGTTTATGCCAAAAGAAAGCCATCAGGTTCACAGCATATGTGAGTGGTTAAATGTTTAAAGATGGGCCACTCTGGCTTCTTTTCTTGCTTCACTGAGAGAACTACTCTTCTTCACTTGAAAAGGCAGATAGAGCTCCCTCTAATCTTACCAGATTTTCTCCAAGCTGATGGAGCTGCTAAAGACATCTGTGGGGGAAGCAGGGCAAATGAAGGTGGATGAGCAATTATCCCATCCCTGATTTGATGAGAGGGAGCAGGGTTAGCATGCAGGAGGCACATATTAAATCAGAGAGCTGCAGCATCATAAAGGCAGCATGAAGCAGCTCTTCCCACATGGGTAGCTGCTTTTGTTTCCCCAGTTTAGGTGTTAGCGCAGCAGAAGCATTTCCAAGCAAGCCTTATTGGGAAAGAGAAAGGCCCCGTCTTTTCCTCTCCTGGTTCTCTTTCATCAGAGAGCACTGTTTTGGACATAAACTGGAAATCTTTGTGCATCCAGAATTTTGCCCAGCAGGCAGGATAAAACTAAAAAAAAAACACAAAACAAAACAAACCAGAAGCAAAACCCAGTCTGTAAGGTGACAGATCTTTTTATTGCTTGAACCAGTATCCAGACTCTCCCTGCTCTTATAAATCTCCTTAATTGATCAGTCAATTTTGTTGTGATTTTAGCAGTCTCACCTGCCGTAAAGTACTTACCTGTGCCAAATAGGCTTCCTGTATAGGACCATGCCATCCATCATATCGGATACCAAGAAGGTCTAGACTTTGAAAGGCCCATAGGAATTCCAAAAGGAAATAGCATTATTATGGCATTGGCTATTTGATAACATTTTATGCAGTCCTAGCTTAATTCAAGCACAAATTAACTTGATCTCATTGAAAGTGGCTTATAGAACTGTGATGTATTGATGAATGAATCTATAATTGTCATTTATAATGTGGCTGCATTTTAATAAAAAAAAAACAAAATCTAGCACATCAGAATTCCCAACGCCATGAAATAATTTTAGTAGATTTAAAATATGTATATTTTCCTCTTGCATAATGTAGTTAAAGTTGCAAAAAAGCAGCTTGAATTTCTGATTCACGATAAACTAAAATTAGAGTTTAAAATCCATAGTTAATGACTAGGATTATCTTGGTTTTGACTTAAAACACATTCATCCCATATGTATTGCATCTCAAAAGAAATCCACATTCTTTCAAGTTACAAAGTAAATCACTTAAAGTCCTGACAGACAAGCCATACCCTGTGGACCAAAAAGAATTATTTTCCCACACTATTAACAATGCTTAGTGTTCCGGATCCTCTGCATGCTTTTCTGGTTGTATTTTTGCCCTTTTAACTTGTGGTCATTACAAGCGCAACTTATTACATGAAGTATGCAGATATACCACTTCTTAAAGGGGAAAAAAAAAACAACAACCAACCCAAAAGAGTATCGAAATCCCTTTTAAGTTTCTCTAAGGTGTTTTTTTTCCAGGATGAAGTGCGCATAACCATGTCCCACACTGCTCGCACAAAGCCGCAGAAGCAGCTGCCGCAGGAAGGGCGGGAGCCCGGGGGAGAGGCGGGGCCAGGCAGCCGCTGCCGAGCTTCGCCGCCAACCTTGAGATTGAAAGAGTTCATTGCGATTGGCTGGTAGGATCAGCACTATTAACCAATAACAGCGTGGTATTTAAAAAGGACAAATTGCAAAGCCGTTCCTAAGAGAGGTGACGCCACTTCAGCGGCTATCCAATAGAAGCGCTTATCCCTGAAGCCAAATATTTGCATAAGGGACCTATAAATACGGGAGTGCGCAGACTGCCGCTCATTCTGGTGTGTCAGAGCAACCCAGGAGTTATCGCTATGCCTGAGCCGGCTAAGTCTGCTCCTGCTCCGAAGAAGGGCTCCAAGAAAGCTGTCACCAAAACGCAGAAGAAAGGTGACAAGAAGCGCAAGAAGAGCCGCAAGGAGAGTTACTCTATTTACGTGTACAAGGTGCTGAAGCAGGTGCACCCCGACACTGGCATCTCGTCCAAGGCCATGGGCATCATGAACTCCTTCGTCAACGACATCTTCGAGCGCATCGCCGGCGAAGCCTCCCGCCTGGCACACTACAACAAGCGCTCTACCATCACCTCTCGGGAGATTCAGACGGCTGTCCGGCTCCTGCTGCCGGGTGAGCTGGCCAAGCATGCAGTCTCCGAGGGCACCAAGGCTGTAACTAAATACACCAGCTCTAAGTAGAATATCACAAAACCAACAGTTTTAACCCAAAGGCTCTTTTAAGAGCCACCAATTTTTTCAAGTAGAAGGGCTGAATTGCTGTTGTTTTCGGGGGGGTGCATAAGTAACCTGATCATTTGTATGTCACCAGTGAAGTGCTTGTTTTTTCAGGTAACTGAAGCTATTTAATTTCTGACTGGAAGAATTTTGACTTGCAGCCCGCATCTGGCATAAAGGATTGGCCGTTTAAAACTTGAGCACGCAATACTAGCTGCTTTTGAATGTTGGCTAAAAAGCAGCAGCAACTGTACCCCAGTGCTTTGGTAGCTCGGTCAGTTTCCAGAACTTAGGAGTCCCATGAAAAAGGTAGGTGGGCTTTTATTTTCGAAGAGCTTGAATTCCTCTTACTTAATATGTCCAGCAGAAAATTCTGTTGTTAAGAACTTGCACTATACCTGTAAAATAATAATTAAAAAACATTTCTGGATCTTTCAGTGAATAATAAATCTTTTGAAAGCAAGTCTTCCAGGTGCGTTTGTAGCTTGGTTTCACTTTTCGTATGTTTTAAGTGCGGGTCCAATTCTCCCTCTCCACCCCACCCCAATACTCGCTTTTTCCAGTGAGGTAGCTGCCGTACTTGATTAAATAGGGTAAGATTTTTCTTTACGAAGGGTTTTCCGGTTTAAAACACCGATGTCCAAACGTGTGAAGGAGTTAATTCACTGTGAATCGCCGTGAAGCTGGGGTTGTCGGTGATGTGCAGGGACTTGGGGTCAGACAGCTGCTCTAGAATGTCCCGCCGCACCGCTGTGAAAGTGCAGCTTTGCCCGCAGAAGCTGTGGGGTGAAAGCAGAATGGGAGCACTATGCACGCGTTTTCCCCACCCCCCCCTAATCTGTGCCGTCTTGCCACAGAACCCCCAGGAAGGCGGCCCGTGAGGCGCCGCGCGTAACCGAGCATGGGGGAGTACACCGGAGGTGTGCGTGTGGGGTCACCGCCCTAAGAGGCGGGGCTTGACGCCAAGGGGGCTTGGCCGAGTGGGCGAAAGGGACCAATCCTGTCCCCGCGCGGGACACTTAAGCCTCCCCCCGGCTATGCAGCGGAGGGACGCGAGCTAGGGCTGGCGCTGGCCTCGTTAAACTCCGGGAGGGCGGAGCGCTCGTCGGGCTCCTGAATTGCACGTAGGAAGCAAGACTTCCTCTTCAAGTTAGGTCTGGTCTCCCATGCAGGCTGCACAGACCGCCCGCGTTTCGGTAAACGGTAACTTTCTTAATCTAGTATAAATCCCTGCCAACCCCTTTTCGAGATTTGGTTGTGCTGCTGCAATTACTGTCGTGTTCCAGCTCTTTTTAAGTAAAAGTGGGTGGCTCTTAAAAGAGCCTTTGGGTTTATTTAAATGAGTAGACTGTAATTGCTTCTCAGTCTTTTTACTTCTTTTTGGGCGCCGCCTTCTTTGCCTTGGCAGCTTTGGGCTTGGCTGCTTTAGGTTTGGCTGCTTTGGGCTTCACGGCCTTGGTTTTAGCCGGGCTCTTTGCTGCCTTCTTAGGGCGACCTGCCTTAGCAGCCTTCTTAGGGCTCTTAGTAGCCTTCTTGGCAGCAGCAGCCACCGGCTTCTTCGCTTTCTTGGGACTTTTCTTCACTGCTGTTTTTTTGGGCTTCTTGGCAGCGCTGGCAGGCTTCTTGGCTGCCGGCTTCTTGGGCTTGGCTGCCGGCTTTTTCTTAGTTGCTTTCTCCTTTGTCTCGCCTGGCTTCTTGTTGAGCTTAAAAGAACCAGAAGCACCGGTGCCCTTGGTCTGCACCAGGGTACCTTTGTTGACGAGGCTCTTCAACCCCAGCTTGATGCGGCTGTTGTTCTTCTCCACATCGTAGCCACCAGCGGCCAGCGCCTTCTTGAGCGCGGCGAGGGAGAGCCCCTTGCGCTCCTTAGAGGCGGACACAGCCTTGGTGATCAGCTCGGTGACGCTGGGGCCCGCGGGCTTCCGGGCCTTCGAGCCGCCCGCCGCCTTCTTCGGCTTCTTGGCGGCGGCCTTAGCACCGGGAGCAGACACAGCGGGGGCGGCGACGGGCGCGGTCTCCGACATGGCTGCAACCGTAGTCCGCGGATCAGGGGAAACCACTGGGCCTGAAGCGGGTCCGCGGCCTCGTATTTATAGGGAGGGGCTGCGCGGTGATTGGTGCTCTGCAGCGCCCGCCCCGCCGCCCGGCGGAACGCTCCCGTCTCCCCTCTCATTTTGTGTTTCTTAGGAGGCAAAAAAGACGGGTTTTATCCGAATTTCGGTCATGCACTCCCCCCGGTTCGCAGAGCCGTGGAAAAGAAAGACTGTTGTTCCCCTCGGCGAAGTTTCCCTTCGGAGAGGCAACGGGTGAGTTAAAAAAGAGGCGATAAACCCCGAGTCCTGGACCCGGAGAGACCTCGGGAGGCAGAAACTTTTGGTTTTCCTACAAAATAAAAGCCGCGACGTGGTCACCTAAACCTCCAAAGTAATTAATTGTTATTCTTTAAAGGGTCTTCTCTTAATCTGAACTGAAAACAGGACACTTGAATGGATATTTTAAGCACAAATTGGTTTCTAAGAGGAGGAAGTAACACAGGTTCATCTTGAGCCCTGAATATGGATTAGAAATTAGCTCCTTTGTCCCAAATCCTTTGCCCCTTTCAAAATAATTTAAATAAATCCAATTAGTGGATGATGCAGCAAGGCAAGAAGCAGGTGAAAGTTCGGTAAGGGGCTGTTTGTATCCTAGAAGAGAATGACTTTTTTACAGCATAGCAGCCTGTGCTGTCTTGCTTAGTGTGCACACAATGCAGGCACCATTCCCACATGCTCTGCTACTGAAATATTTATTTTCTTAATAAATTATGTGACAGAAGAGCTTAGCACGGACAGGTTTTGTTAATAATTATAATCAGCACCCTGTCACTTCATGATTTGGCAGTGGTTTTTTTCTGACACAGCTTGATTGGTGAAAAATCTGAGTCAGCATTATCTCAGGAGACACGACTGCAGCTGAGTGTCTCCCTGCTTCTGCACAACAAAACTAGCTCCCGTTATCGTCTTGGACTCCACTTTTGTAGCAGATTGTGAAATATTTGGTGTTTTTTTTTTTGTTTTGTTTTTATTTTATACTTTTCAATGACAGATTCCTGCACTGGGAGTAATATGAAAACTAATATATATGTGTTGTGCTGAAAGAGCTGGCTGTGAGCAAGAGGGGTAAGTCCTCCCTTGCATTTTACCAAGACCGCACATAAACAGATTAAAACTAAAATTATTTTATTTTTCAAAGTACAGAGAATTGAAAGGAATATCCCCTGATAGTTTCCTTTTTGCCTACAACCCTTTGTTTTGCCATAGGCCTGTAAACTGCTTGTTACTTCTTGGCATTGTGACTGTCAGTGGTGCTAAAACGTTGCACGGTGGTATGATAAAAAAAAAGTCTTTTCAAATCAATCATAATTAAAATGTGTTTGTTGATCTATAATCACCAATTTTCTGTTTCTACTTCAACATCTGTATGGTGGTGTTCAGCACTATAGGTAAGGTAGAATCAGAACTGGGAACAGTCCTTTTTACCTCAAATTGCCCATCATTCCTAAATCCACTCAGATTTCAGTTGCAGCAGCTCAGGCAGAGCCGTGAGAAAATTGTATGAAAAATTACTAATTCAGAATGCCTGTTAGTATGAAAAAAAGGACACATCTGTAGGTCAAAGGGTTGTTTAGAAGGAGCAAGGTGGCTTTTAAAGATGTTGATTACTTCAGTTCCACACAGGCGTAGTAAAGGACAAGGCCTGGGGGGAAAAGGGGAAGCTGCAAATTCCTTGCAACATCAACTTTGGGACTTTGTCCCCCACGAGAACAATTCATTCCACATCTTATTTTTAGCATTGTGTTTACCAACAATTAACATGTTCTATTTTACTGAATTAACATTACAACAGGTTTTGTTCTGAATTGAAAAATTTTCAAGAACTTAACACTTCCCAAATTTGGAGGAGTTTGTTTGGTTGGGTTTTTTTGTGGGTTGTGTTTAGTTAGAATGTACAGCTCCTTTTATGAGACAGTGGGTGGCTCTAAAAAGAGCCTTTGTGTTAAACTTCTGAGGTGGGAGCCTTCGTCAGTTTTTACTTGCTCTTGGCCTTATGGCTGTCGGTCTTCTTGGGCAGCAGCACAGCCTGGATGTTGGGCAGCACACCACCCTGCGCGATCGTCACCTTGCCCAGCAGCTTGTTGAGCTCCTCGTCATTGCGGATGGCGAGCTGCAAGTGCCGCGGGATAATGCGCGTTTTCTTGTTGTCGCGGGCCGCGTTGCCCGCCAGCTCCAGGATCTCGGCCGTCAGGTACTCCAGCACGGCTGCCAGGTACACCGGGGCGCCGGCGCCCACCCGTTCCGCGTAGTTACCTTTCCGCAACAAACGGTGAACGCGGCCCACGGGGAACTGCAGGCCAGCCCGCGACGAGCGTGACTTGGCCTTAGCACGCGCCTTCCCGCCTTGTTTTCCACGCCCGGACATCGCTCTTGCCTCTCCTCCTCTGCTTCCGCTTAGAAATGACGTGAACACCCGTTCCTCTGGCCCCCCTTCCGCGCCCGGCCTCTTTTATACCTTCCACGCTCGCACGGGCCTGCTTTCTCATTGGTTGCCACACGCTCTCTCTGGCTACTACCAATGGCGCTGCGGATCCAAATCCACCCAATCGGAGAGCGGTCCTCCCCGCCGCGTTACCCCCGCCCTACAGCAAATGCAGGGAGGGGATTGGGGGGGGGCCTGGAGGGGCGCTTCTCGAGTAGCGGCGGGGCGGGTCCAAGCCCCGGTTCCGCGTACTGCAGCCGCCTCTGACCCCTAGCAGTGACTCAGGAATTCATCTTACAGGGAAACGTGTGCCTGAGGAATTGACCCCCAGGAACAGGGGGAGCCCCTTGCTAGCGCCATCGCTGTTGTCTTAGAACCCTCTATTTAGAACCTCAAAAATGCTACTACAGGATTATTTATTATCATGAAGAAATGCTTCTATCAGTAGGCACATTTGCAACCCAGTACTACTGATATCTGCAGAAACCAGGCAGGAACACATAACACAGGAATTTTCTCTGCTTCAGGAGACAATCACTCAAGTGTTACTGCAATTAAACTAATACAGTATTACTTGCAGGGCTGTTCAGCAGAACATTACAAGTTACTCAAACTGGAGAATACCCCACTACACAAACAAGCTGAAGCGACTTCAAGATCAAATGTTTGGTACATTTGTCCCTGTCCTGCACCAGGATTCCTGATTGGTTTTTCTCCTTTACTCTGATTACCCACAGTTTCTCTTTAGTCCCTGTCATCTTTTCCTCTTCTATATTTTGAGCAATGGCAGATACTATCTTTGTTCAAAGCAGTGAAGGAGTCTGCACCCTGGACTATGCCACATCCTTTTGCTACCCCAGTGCTGCACAGCAGTGTTTTTCCTCCATTCTGCTCTTTTCTTTAAATTCCAGTTCCGTGACTTCTTTTGTTCCCTTCTTCATTCATTGATGCTTTTGGACTGTAACTCATGGTTCTTTTTTATAACGCAGCCCAGGTCCCATTACATGGGTATCATAAAATTACAGTGAAGTGAGTAGTGTGTGTGCCAGACTATGCTGCTTACCCTTGGATATGAGCACTGGCATGGTTCAGGGAAAGACAGAGATATGACTGCTACTCAGCTATTCATGATGGCCTAGCAAAGAAAAACAAAAAACAAAACAAAAAAAAAACACAAAGCCAAAAAAAAAAACAAGCAAAAAAAAAACACACCAAAAACCCAAAACAAACACACAAACAAAATGAAACCCACCCAAAGCAATCAAACAAACAAAAGACATTTCATCTAAACTCTGCCCCACAGAGTAAGAAAGAGTCACAGCCTTCTTTCCAGGAGGGTACAGTAACAGGAATTCTGATCTAAACTGTTCAGGATTACAAACAAGGCAAAATAAACATGTCATAGTGCACACAAAGTACTGTCACACTTTTTTATTTTTGGGCAACTAAGATCTCAGATCCCTATTCAGAAATTTCAGTAATATTTAGAAAGCATCTCTCTTTAATGGTGTGATTCAATGGATTATCAGAGGCCAAAAATAACGCATGAATAAATGGAAAAAATTAATCTTGCTATTGCAAGTATTGCCAATTTAGCAATGAAAACTCTTTGTAAGAATTTCTGATGCTGGGGGAGAAAAGGTTGGCAGCAGTCCTCCAAGCTGGATTTGGTGTTTCTGCCATGGCACACCATTCGTGTGGATGTTGAAGAACAAGACATTTACTTCAGCAAGTTGTATGCCCTAAGATGGATAAGCCATTTCCTCAGCTTGTGCTAATCATCACAGTTTGAATTCTCAGTTGTGAGGTTAGAATCTCAACACCTGTAATGATGTAAAACTACCTCCACTGATTTTCAGGCATATTTAGAGCTCAGATCTGTCACCTTGTGAGCATGTGGTTTGGTCACCAAGTTGTCACACAAAAGATGGGCACCGCTGCTGTTCCTCTCTCCCTTTAGTCTTAGATTATGGCTCTGCTCAGAGCAAAGCCACTGGCAGGTGAGCATTGGCTTTAAACACTACATTAATTTCTTGAAAGAAAAATGAAAGAGTAATAGTAAAAGTTTTGACAGTCCGTAACAATGTAGCCCAGCAGTCCCGTAGATTTTAGTCCAAATAAGCCTGCAGGACCGCGTCCTAATTGGGAAAAGCTGCCTGTGATTCATAAGAAGAGGAGGAGGCAGTTGCACAGTTAGGTGAATTGGCAGCACAGGTGGTTTTGTCTGCTTCTGAGCATCACGAGTAGCTACTCTTAAGCATTGCGTTCCTGCCTATACAGGCAATCATTTCACTTCTTGCTGTGACTGCAATAAATACATTCCAGAACTGACTCAGTTCAGTTACCTGAGTGCATGGATTGAAGTCAGGGCATCCACACATCCCATTGCTTTGATAAAAGGGACAGGAAGATCTTACATCTTTGTGCTCCTTCCACTTAGAACTGTATCAAAGGCAAAAAAGGAAAAAAAATAAAAATAAAAATAGATCACCCACATCAGCATAGCTGAAGACAAACCACAGCTCTGGTGAATCAGATGAGTTATCAGCCCCACGTGCAGCTTTTCTACACACAATCCCAGGTAGCCATACAGCTCCCAACTTCATGTGTTCATCTAAAACCACAACAGAATGTGAGAAGCCCCCGTACAAGAGCCACAGAAGACAGTGGGCACCCTGACCTTGGATTCTTTCCATTAAAAACAAAAACAAAACCAAAAAACATCAACCAAATCCAGCTGTTGCATTGTCAAATCCAGCTCTTCCATGTGGCCACAAAGCCCATTCCAGGACTCCTCTCTCCTACACCTCCCTTCTCCACAACCCCTTAAAGGCATCTTAGGGGTCTACCAGTAACCACCCACCTTCTTTTACACACTCCCTTCACCTTTCAGCCCAGACAGGATAAGGAAGTGCCCTTTCTGATATTATGTACAGTCCTTGTGCACCACATTTCGTATTTTTAGCTGTTTTAAAGTTGTAGCAAATTCAAATCCATTTGTCTCCATCTGAAAAGGCTAGGTAAAAACACACACACACACACACACACAAGAAAGTGTTCTCTCTATCCCAAGAAAAGGTGGCTCAGCTATGTGAGAATATGGCAAAAGGAACGTAAATAAACCAAGGCTCAGAGGTACCACAATGACGCTCCTTCCCCCAAAAATCACCATTCACGTTTCACTTAAAGACAAAAATATCTTAAAAAAAAAAAAGCAAAGAAATATAGCTAAAAAATTATGATACTACTAACACGAATGCAATTAACTCCTGAACCAGAGAAAGAACTGTTATACGAATCTGTTTGTGTTCAGTATTAATGAAAAACTGATTTGAAATTTTCAAGTGTAAGTTTAGGTAGATAATAATTCTGTTTCCTCAAAACACATTTAATTTCAAAACAGTGAGTACTCAGCTAAGTCTGAGAGAGCCAACTAAAGGTATTGTTCAAGGTATCTGTTGGTCTGGCTGCTTGATATAAACTCTCTTCATTAAAAATCTAGAACTCCACAAGTCCGGATATATTCATCTAGAAATTGGTATGTTAGAGAACTCACCCTTGAAATCATTAAGAATCTCACAAGTTCTTCAGCAGGGACAATGCAGAGCTTTCTCAATTTCTTTTATGCTGTATCATATTTATGACACTATTAGTAGGTTTTGTGCTCAAATTCAGTATTCCAGACAAAACTTTGCATATTTGCAATATTTATTATCTCCACTGAAGCAGCAATTTCTCTGGGAGAGATTTGTTGCAAACAACTGATCTTATGGGTCTTAAGACTCATTTGTCTACAAGATCCCACGAGATTTTGCAGTTCTGCTTCTTGCATGTGGTGCAGTAAGGTTTATTGGAGTATTTGGCTCTGTCTGCATAGTGAATGAAGCTAAAGGAACACTTCTGCTGAAATAGAAGACTTCTTCAAGCTGGAAATGTGAAAGTCCCTTTTTAGAAAAAAAAAATGTCTGCAATTTAAAACCCCCGACTTCATAGAATTTGAAGTCAGGTATTTTCCACAAGTAAAATTACCTGCCAATCTCTTAGAACTAAAATTGTTTACCTATTTTTACTTAAGGTAACTTGCCCAAGAAGTACCCAGTGGGTATCTGATTCCTGATACAAAGTAAACATTTTAATAAGAGTATATAAAACAAGTAACTTTATAATTATTAGTGGCACCTCAGAAATTACGTTTCTACAAGTCACCAACAAAGGTTGAAATAGATGTTTAGGAACTTAAAAACCACGAATATAGAACTTTAATAAAATAAAAAAAAATTTAAAAGCATCTATTATTTATAATGCAGCTACTTCTTTTCTTTTCTGAGGTTCAGAATGCCTCTATCTTCCCCCAGGGCCAGCAAAGAACCTCCCTCCATTTCCATTCACATGCTAGCTTAAAACAAATCACAAGGAAAACAGTATTTTAATACACTGAACATTTATTGTCCTTCACAAGACAAAATAAAGTCTCCCCAGCTGATGAAAGCCATCAAGATGACCATAAAGGGGATAGGGTGCAAAATTCCAGTGTACAGTATACGCAACAAGTTACCTCCCTGACTACCCTGGAAGAAAGATGATTGATCAATCTCACTGCAACTAAAAAACAGGATTATAAAATATTTACAGAAAGGAACAGTACAGAAAATAAAAACTGGACAACCATATGTGTATGAAATGCTGCTAACACTTTCCTGTCTCTTTAAAAACCTGTTTCACTACCCTCACCAGAGCATACAGGATGTGCAAGGATTCAGGCAGAGCATAGTCACCCCCTGCTCCCACACCTCCCTCCCCAGAGGGCTATTATTCTCCTTCAAGGAAGGGGGAGGACTTGAAGGAAGCATCGCCGCCTTTACTAGGATTTCCTTCCACCAACTGGACATGCTAGCTCCTGAAAGGAGGTCCCCAGCCATACCTCATCTGCAGCGGTCTCTACCCAGAGCATACTGGCAAGTTAACCTATGGGTAACTATTAACAGGCAACTATTCCCTGTAAAGTTAGCCCTTTCATTGCTTGAAGGAGGATTTTTTCTTCTCCTCCATCCTGGTCTGATCTGTGTTCAGAGGGGCAGGAAAGCCAAGTAGGACTACAACAGGTCACAGGAGACCCTCCATTTCCTTCATGAAGGCTTCATACACATCATCCTTTGTCTGTACAGAGATCGGGGCAGATGATCCAGCCTTAGGGGCAGCTTTGGTTAATGGAAGAGCAGGCTCATCATCCTGTTTTCTCTGGGAGGCAGCCGAAGCCCCTTTATTCTCCCGACGCACTCGCAAGGCAGTGGGCACAAAGCGAGTGATCTCAGCCTTGGGGTTAGTGATCTGCGGCTTGGCACTGATAGTGGCCGTAGCTTTCTTCTCAATGGTGGCTGCACTGGTGTCATCCACCTTGGGGCGCTGAATCAGGCTGGGTGGGGCACTCAGAACCCCAGGATTTGGAATAGGAGCTGGTGGAAAGAGCCCAGGCGGGGCAGGTCCTAAGGGAGGAACCAGAGGTGGCCGTAACATGCCTGGACGAGGAGGAGGGATACCTGTAAGAAGAAAAGAAAGTATGAGCTGACTCCACACCTGGATGTCTTAAAAATATTTGGCTAAAAAGATTTCCACAGGCTCTGGAAACCAAGAAGGAAAAAAAATGGGAACAAAACACCCCTAACAAGAAGCAGTAGCACTGGCTTAAAAAAAGTTTTCAACCCTGCACCAATGCTGGGTTAAAAATGCTCCTGCTCCTCAAATTTCAACAGCTACAGGAGTCTGTGTATTGCTCCCTATCAAATTTTAAAGTTAAAACATGAAAAATAAAGTTTTTTGATGATCCATCCCATTGCAATTTCAGACTCATCAGAAATGTCTCTGACCAGGCAGAAAAAATAAGTATCCCTATCTCCAACTCATTAAGTGAAATATACCACCCAGGGCTTATTCAGAAACACTCCAACAGAAGCTTGAACTCCAAAATTCCTCTTTTGAAGGCAGGTTTCTTGCTACCAAACTACACACAGAAGTATAGAATTACTTGCTGTCACTGCACAGAAAAATGTAATAGCACATAGCACAAGTCACTCACACAAACACAAACCATTAACCAATTATATTTACTGTCACCACAGTAAAAACTGGGAAAATAAAGCTAGAAGAGACTTGGTGCCAAAGTACACAGAACACTTTACCTGGTGGGGCTGGAGGGGGAAGACGAGGAGGGGGACCACGTGGAGGAGGACCTGGGGGCAGGCCTGGTGGGGGACCTGGTGGAGGGCCTGGCGGTCGTCCAGGTGGAGGGCCTGGTGGTAGAAGTCGAGGTAAAGGTCCACGCAGTCCTGGTAAGCCAGGAGGTCTCAGGAATGGAGGAGCTCCTGGAAGCATGCATAGCAAAGAGAAACTCAGCTCACAGTTAAAAAAAGAAAACAACAGAACAGCAACTATCTCATCAGCTAATACTGAAGATCTTCAACAGTAACTTGAAATCTGTTCTAGTACTAGCCAGCCACCAGATTAAATAGGTCTTCTGAATATCTCAAAAAGAGGCAGCAGATGTAAAGAGTAAAACTTCATCATAATAGTCAAGTGGAAGTATCTTTTCCCTCTGAAAAAAGAGCTCCTCTCCATGTAACGAGGCAACAGCTGAGAACAGCTACTGAGCCAATGCTGTCAGAATTTTAACAGCTAAAAACTTGTCACTCTGGCATTTAATTGCCCTTCTGGCTTTTAAAGTAGTTTGGCACTATTGAAAGTAACTGATTTGTGTTTCCCCCTGTATGAAGTATCAGAAATAGAATAGCAAGGAAGACAAACTTTGGAAAGCAAAATTTGCCTACCCCCCACCCCAGAAAATCATGCTACTAACGCGCCCACATAGAGCAGAATACATGAAAATTGTGGTATTTAATGCTTCTCACTATAGTCCAACTATTGATGTTTGCAATTTAAGAACAAGCAATAGATTTATATACTTTAATTACAAAGCAACCTGTTACTGTTACTCAGTTCAGCTATACAGCAACCCCATCAACTTCCAGAAAATCAACTTTCCCCAGATCAAAGAAACTCAAGTACTTGCCCTCAAAAAATCATGCACTATAAAAGAAAATGGTACCAATTGGTCTTATTATTAACAGTCTCTAGGCAGTCCAACATTGCTGTGAATTCAAATGTAGTACTTACTTCATTTGAGGATAGTTATCTTCCCTAATAAGAGGGAAATACATTCATGTGCTAGAGTAGCAGAAGCCTTCACATTCTAGCTTACATTAAAAAAAGAAATCCACATCAAAACCTATAGCTAGGCAGTGGTTCCCAAACCTCTTTCATCATGCCTCACTCAGTGGGATGTGGGGAGATCAACACAAGAAGGAAAGAAATCAATAAAGGAAATCCACCCTACACTGGAGGGGCACATAGCACCAAGCCTTATGCTTCACATTCCAATACTATTCATATTGCAACTACTGCCTCCTGTCAGCGTTACAGCTAACAAACTGTAACAATGCCCACCAGGCTGACTACAGCAACAGAGGTCTGATGCCTCAAAAGCACAGTACAGCAACAGACTGACCACAGAAGAGATCACACAAGTCTCATCAGCTACCACAGAGGGCTTCTGTACCCTGTCTGCAACACATCCTACAGCTTCAAAACTCCCAAACTGATACATTCTGTAGTACCAAGTGCCTGCACAATTCAAACCAGAGTATATCAAGTGTTCACCTGGTGGAGGGCCAGGAGGAAGGCCAGTGGGTGGGCCTGGGGGCCTCAGTGGAGGGGCAGGAGGTGGTCCTAGTGGAGGTGGCCCAGGCATAGGAGGTGCCTGTATCTGAGATGGTGGAACAGGCTGTGGAGGTGGTTGCTGCTGTTGTGTCTGGGAAGCTGCAGTAGATGACCCAGTCTCTGTAAGAGCTTCCTCACTGAGTTGTTGCTGTTGCTGTTGTGATGCCTCTTCAGAATCTGAGTCCTCTTCCTCTTCCTCCTCTTCTTCTGAATATTCCTCCACTTCTCTTCCTTCTTCTGGAATTTCCTGTCCTGGAAATGGAGACATACTTGTAAAATCCATCCATAGGCAATATCTTTGTGAAACACCACAGAAATTGAGCATGCAAAACAAAAAAGACAAGAAAGACCACTGAGTAAGGTTTTTCTCAATGAAAAGAACTAAGTGTATTTAAACCGAAAATTAAAAAACAATAATATAAAAGTCACAGTTCTGTGACTGTGTGTTCCTGTGGGAGCAGAAACTTCTACTAGCAACCTGAACTGCAACTATGTGACCTATGGTTGGTGGCAGCTTGCACAGGTAGCAGGGCATATGGGGGCACAACATCAAAATAAACATAATCCCCATGTCCAAGAAACTCCAGCACCTTTGAAAGATACTGGTGTGTCTAAAACAAACAGTCAGACAAAAGAAAGAAAAAAAAAAAAAAATCTTCACTCTTGGTTAGTTTATTTCTGAAGAAGGAGCTTTTTAAAGACTACAAATCCTTTCAGGTTACAGGCTGAGCCAAGAGCCAATCACATCCTTTCTTTTTCACTCATATTCAAACAAAACAATAGTTTCAAAGTTAAGAAAGGTAAACTTTAAAAGAAAAAAAAAAAACACAAAAAAAAACCAAAACCAAGCCCAATACCTAAAAAAACCCCACACAGGTTGCTACTGTAACTTCAACTGCATGCAAAACAGACACACTACTAGACTAAAACTAACAAAAACCCCCACCAACAATACCTAACCACAGTTTATTACAGTAAAATATTTACTCTATAAAATAAAACCTGTGCAAACCTAATAAGCTTGCCAGAAAAACATTAACTGGAAGCCTAATGGCATATCTTCACATATCCATCTCACTCACCTGCCATTCGTAACATCATGGCCTGGAGTGGAGTCAATTCTTTCATGTTCTTTTTCTTTTTTCGTGACTTCCCAGGCATGTCTGCAAACCGCACACTGTGACCTGGGGAAAGCAAAGCAAAGCAAAGCATGGGCAAGAGTGGTGGGAGCTGGGAAGAAAATAACAGAAATCAGATAACATTTAATCTACCTAGTATGGTACCTGCCCATTGCAGGGGGCATTGGAACTAGATGATCTTAAGGTCCTCTCCAACCCTAACTATTCTGTGATTCTATGGCTAATATATCACTCTAACTACTGTAATGCTGCTCCTTGCATACGGGTTAACAGAGGTGTTACTGATTATTTAAAGTTTTGCTAATTCAGTATTATCCATCAATTGGTCTTTCCCAAGTAATGAAATAAAAAAAATTATCCAAAAGAATCAGTGGTATGAAATACAGTTGTCTTAGTTGCTCAAGTGACTAAAAAGTGCATGTATTTTATACTGAGGCTTAATTTTTGTAACATACCCTGACAACTCAACGCTTCAGGTGAAACATGTCTTGCGAGCTTACTAAGCTAACTCAACTGTTAAGAAAGCAGGTCCACATGAAAGATGCTTCACTTCTAGATAGTTTCCTTCTGATCTGTTTGTTAATGAAATTTCTTCAGCTGAAATTTAGGCAAGTTAGAGCAGTCAGACAGCAAAACAAATTAACTTTCCTCCCCTCAGTCAGGAAAACAGACACAAACTCTGTTAAATAGTGTTGATATTTTGAAAAATCAAATCCCAATCCATAACTTCCCATATCATACCCGATTTCTTTTCTTCACCACCTTCCCTCTCCTTGTCATTATCACGATGCAGGAAGTCCTCGCCATCACTGTCTGCATCTGATCTGTCACTGTCACTATCATCACTACTGTCATCATGCTTGTCCTGATCCATATCCTCAGGATAACCTTCATCTTCACTAGTACTGGACATGTCATCATCATGCCCTCGCTGTCCTGTGGGAAGCAAAGTATTAGGAAATGCATAAACTCCAAATACACTGGTGTGAAAGACTGAATATTTTGTATGTCTACAGTTAGAAAAATTCTCCTAGCAACAGCATGGACATATTGTCAACTCTTTGCTGTTTAGCTCATAAAGAATATTTTGGGAGAGTCTATTTCTAATATTTTCTATTAAGCAGCTGGTTAATTTGCATAGCAAACAAGTGAAGGCAGCTCCTATCTGCTCAACAGGAACAAACAAATGAGTTGCAATCGCCCACCACTGAAACACTTGGATGTTTTCTGGTGTGCAATAAAGCTGATTTACCCATCCGCTAATGTTCCTAGAGATGACACAGCAACTGTGAAAAGGAAGACCTAGTTTCACCTAGAAAATGCGTACCCAGGGTTGGCTGGGGCTCTTTTTTGTTGTTGTGCTGGTTTGTGGTGGATTTTGGCTTCGGTTGGTTTTGGGTTTTTTTTTGGTGGGCTTTTTTTTTCTGTTTTGTTTTATTTAGAAGGGGTATTAGGAAGACTTCTTTGAGACTAGTTAAGTTTATTTAAGGGATTAATAGATCCAATGTTTCAGCACTGTTAAGACTACATGGGAAAGCTGTAATTAGAAGCTTCAATATTTAAAAATATAGCTGATAAAATTGCAGAATACCAGAATCAGCTCAGAGGTCCAATCACTTAAGTCCTTCAAGTAGCATTAACACCCATGCTGCCCAGAGAATAACTTGTGTAGGGCACACTGCATTCACAGCAATACTATCCATACGAAAATGGACAGGTCAAGCAAAATCTAGGCCAGGGAAGTGCTTACCTGCTTCAGAACTGTAAGAAATCTCCTCTTCTCGCCTTCGAGGAGCCATCTCCAAGGTGAAACCTACTTTACGGCCATACATCTGGAGGACTTGAGGTGGTGGTGGGCCTGGTGGAGGTCCAGGGGGCTTCCTCCCTGGAGGTAAACGTGGAACACCAAGCCCAGGAGGAGGAAGTACAGAAATGGACCGAACTGGCGGTCTGGAAATAAGGAAGGAAACAAGAGATATAGGAACACAAACAAATGAAAGCCAACATACACTTAGTAGAATTCTTTAGCCTTCTTTCATCACTGCTTACACAGCAGCCTTCTAAAAAGGCACGGGAACATTTACAGATCTGTCCCAAGGAGTTTACAACCTCATACAAAGACATGATTGCAGAATATCGGCCAAAAGCAAGCTTCTCAGATGGCAAAAAAAAAACCCAAGGATTGAATCCCACCACAGAAGCCAAATGAAGTAATCACAAAGTCGGTGAAAACAGAAGACTATTCAGAAAGAAATAAAAAGAACTAGCTGTACAACGAGAGACAAGTAAACTAGGAAATTAAACTGCATATACTATCAAGACAAAAGAATACATAAGATATGCCAATTTAAGGGGCATTTATGATAAAAGTGCCAGAGCTTTAAGTTTTACTGATATACAGAAAGACAATTACTCAAAGCAATTTAAACAAAACCCTGTAACAATAGGGAAAGATTAAAAAGGGTTTTGGTTAAAAGAAAGTACAATTAACTCACACATAATTCTCGATTTCTGCTAGTCAGTATTACCTCTGCGTCTACCCATAGTTCCTCCCCATTAATAAGAGTGCTCATTTTTTACTTCCTCTCCAAGTTTCTTTCTCCACTTACCCATAGGCTGATGTCTTCTTGAGGATAGAAGGTGGTTGGGCCCCTGGAAGGGGAATGTCCTGTATGAGGATGTTGGAGGGAGCATGCGGCATATCTGGTAAGGGAATACTTTCCACTTCTACATGCTGAGCATTCTGGGCAGGGGGGAAAGGAGAGGAAGAAAAACAATGGATTACTCCCACAGAAGCTCCTACACAACCTCATTACCATTCAGAGTACAGAACACATGGGACTTGCTATGACTTCCCAAAGATGTCTTTCGTGGCTTGCTGCAAGAAAACATGGCCTGAAAACAGACATTCAGGAAGGTATCAACAATAAAAGCTTTCAACACAAAACAAAACACATGCAGTGCACCTATGAAAGGCTTTAGTACTTCAGTCAAAACTCAGACAAGCTTCCATCTCCCTTTAGACCTTCATTTTCCAAAGCAAAGAGGCTGTAGACACGGACAGGCTGGACAGAGCTTTGGGCAACATGGTCTAGTGTGAGGTGCCCCTGTCCATGGCAAAACGGTTGGAACTACATGATCTTAAAGTCCTTTCCAACTCAAACCGTTCTATGATTCTATGCCTGTATTTTTTAAGTATCCAGAAGGCATGAATTACAGGCTGCTGCGTATTCCAAAGGGGAAAAAAAAAAATTAAATTAAAAAAAGTCTTACAGATACTTGCACTTGGGCAACATTATGTTCTCCAATATGGCAGGGAAGAATGTCAAATAAAGCTCTTTAAAGGAATGCCAAAAATTCTCATTAATTCCAGCAACAGCCTTCACAGAAATTCACAGAAATATCAACTGCACACTCACAGCCTGGCTCTCTAATATGGAAAACAAATTCTGACATGATTTATTTTTAGCAAAAAATCTTTTCCCCCATAATTTCACATTGAATGAAATCAGTATATCAGACACAAACTCAGACTTGACTACCCCCATGCTGCCCTTACTGGAATGCTATAACTGGAAATGCTATGCAAGTAAGTACTTAATATGAGCCACATAACATA